CATCCACTAGGTGGCACGGTGAGCGTCTATCTTCGAGAGTATTTCCACCGGCAGTACAAGTATTCACCTCATTCTGTGAGGATCTCTGTTGTGTTGTGTTTTTTTTTTTTGTTTTTTTCAGTAATTTTGTTAAATTTCTGTATTGATACTATGGTCCCGAAGAAAGTAAGTGTAAAGAATTGTGGTGAAATGCTGAAATGTATGATTTCGCTTGTGGCAAAGCGGGAAATTATAAAAAAAAAATCCCCGCAGGAGACGTACGAGTAATGGATTTGGCGAAAGTGTATGAGCGTTCTACATCGACGATAAATAAATAAAATTATACAATATAAGAAGTTAAAAAAAATTAGTTACAGTAATGGATAAAATGTAAATGTTTTAAAAATTTAAAAATTAGGTGATGAATTTAATCTTCGGTTTCGTAGAAAAGGCTAGCCGTTGCTAGGTTAGGTGAGCGGTTGCTAGGCTAGATACCGTTGACAACAACTCTCTGCCCCCCTCTCTCTTTTTCTCTCTTTCACTCTTCCGTCAGTTGGCTTATGTCTCTTCCGAACTTCATGGTTTAATATATTTCATTTCTTTACAATTTGTTATTTCTCTTTTATTTTGTTGTTTGTTAACTGTATTTCTTGTTTATTCACACGTTTTTGCTGCTAGTAAACACAAAAATACGAAAATAGGGGTGAGTTTTAGGAAACTTAAAGTGATTTTTAGGGACCTAGAACGGATAGTAAATATTCAATTTATATATATATATATATATATATATATATATATATATATATATATATGTGCGTACATGTGTGTTTGTGTGTGTGCGTATCTCTTTCTCTCGTATTGTGTATGTATGTAAGAAAAGCGACAGCGAATGTTTAAAGTGCATATTTAAAAATTAAAAATCTTTCTTGAAGCTTTTATTTTACTTTTTATTTCAATATAAAATGTAATATTCTCATTAAGCAAAATGTATTTGAAACGCAATTTAAATTGACTAGCATGATTTTTTTTTTTTATTATTTGTAAAAACAAAAACATCTTCCAGGCTTACAAATTTGTCAGCACAACGTAATTCTCTTTATTAAATAAATAATTCAAAAATAAAATATTTTAAAAAAATAAAATAAAATACAGTGTAACCCGGATATAAGAGAGTTGTCGGGACCGGAGAAGAAGTCTCTTATATCCGGGTTTCTCTTATATCCGGGTTTGGTCTATTATATATACATTAACACAGGCTCTAATTTGGGACAAGAGAAAATCTCTCTTATATCCGGGTTTCTCTTATATCCGGATCTCTTATATCCAGGTTACCTGTATATATATATATATATATATATATATATATATATATATATATATATAGTGTAACCCGGATATAAAAGATATAAGGACCGGGAAGAAGCCTCTTATATCAGGTTTCTCTTATATCCGGGTTTCTCTTATATCCGGGTTTGGTCTATTATATACATTAACACAGGCTCTAATTTGGGACCAGAAAATCTCTCTTATATCCGGGTTTCTCTTATATCCGGATCTCTTATATCAGGTTACACTGTATATATATATATATATATATATATATATATATATATATATATATATAGTGTAACCCGGATATAAAAGAGTTGTCGGGACCGGAGAAGAAGTCTTATATCGGGTTTCTCTTATATCCGGGTTTGGTCTATTATATATACATTAACGCAGGC